TTGTGATCTCGGCTGCACTAAACGTTTGTTTGAGGAGCCCTAGCTGGGTTTTTGTTGTTTCCCCTGCTCTTAGACCCCGGTCTCGTCCTGTTTGGTGATCTCTGGCACATGCTGTAGGCAAATCCACCGAAACACGGGCTGTTCCACAAAAAGGAGGGGGTTTGTTTCGGTTGTTCTATAGTAGTGATCTGCAAAATACTCATTTGTTTGTCTCCATCTCTCTCTCTCTGCAATCTAGAAGATTCGCTATTGATTATTTTGGCCACATACACTGTATATGGTGGAATTACAGGGACAATCACAGAATTGCAATTCAGAAGAAAAAGATGACCTTGGCTCTCTAGGTTTTATTGGTTTTTAATGGGAATTTATAATAAGCATTCTGGGCTATTTGCCAGTTCTCTAGATAAAATTGTTATTGCCAATATTATTCATTTATTCTAGGAATGAATTAATTTTGATTACTGAGAATCTCTCTACTTCACTTTTATATAGGTTGTCACGCATTCAGCACAGGAGGCTATTTTTCAGTCTGAAGCAGAGGGGAAAGTCCGTATAGACGCCAATACACACCTTCCCTGGGAATGCAGTGCCGGAGTTGCAAGCAGCCCACTTCTCAAAGCATCTTGCAACTCTGCTTACAATGTAACCCTTTGATTTACTTCTCCCACCATTACTCACTGCATCCTCTGTAGAGAAGGAGACAGACCCCAGAACATGAATTGCTCAGTTTGGCCCCAAAAACCACTTCTCTCACATTCAAGAATAAGCAAAACTTTTTCAAAAAAAAAAAAAAATCACTACACATAGCACTTACAGAGAGCAGATTATGCTCCCTATTCCAAAAGGGCTGCTGAATGCTTTAGGTGGTCATTACTACAAAAATATTCCACATCAAAAGCCACCACATGGCTTGCCAGAATCCTTCTGCTCCATTACAGTGTGGTAACCTGACATTTTGTTGCTTTGTCTGCTTCCCAGCACGACACGCACTAAATCAAAGCAATTAATTGTGTGTCTATTCATTTCTCCATTCAGCACTACATCCGCTCTCCTTTGCTTCCTCCTGCATTTAACAGCATAAAGAGAGACACGTATGATGTTTGGAAATATTTCTCCCATTGCACTATTTTGGATTTGCTGTCCGTTTGCTTGTTTGGCATTGGGGAATTTTTCTCAAGGACAGTTTTGTACAAGCAGCTGCATTAAGCTCTCTTGATAGTGCTGCAGGACAGAGATACAATATTCAAGCATGAGCTTTGGAGTAAGGATTACTGCACTAAGTTAAAAGAGATTTTAATGGATGCCTTGAAGGCTGTAAAGCCAGAGAAATGTAAGAGATGTACCATTTCAGTGCATCTCTCCAACACAACCTGATGCCTCTCCCATCTCAAAACAGAAGATATTAGCAAGTTGTCTGGTTTAAGAGCATCAGTTCATGGAAGGACTGGGAACCTACTGTACTTCTGTGCTGCTTTTTTCCCCAATAAACACAGAGCAACTACAGGGGTAAAACCAGCTACGTCTGTTCACGAACGTAACCACTCTGTTTTCTGTTCCAGCTCATCCTTGCCACGTGGGAAGGAGGATACAACTTGCAGTGCCAGAACCTCCACAGCGCAGGGGAGGCTGACATCCGGGTGAGACACAGCATCCGCGGCGCTCCTTCCCGCCGCGTCCTCGGTGCTACACTTCTGCGCTCGTGGCAGTTATAAAGGTGTCATCAGTAACATCCTTAACATGAGGGTTTTTCATCAAGCTGCCTAACAGCTGGTAGCAAACAAGAAGTGTTATCTTTCTGATTAACTACAGATGCATCCTTGCTGTAGGAAGCACAACAGGCAGTATTTTGAAAAGCCGTACATCAAGATCTGTGATCAAAACAGTGTCGTCTGGCTATTCAAACAGAGAATATGGATCATTGAAGAAATTGGGAGAAAAATCAGTCATCTAAAAATGTAACACTTGCTGGGCTCCAGCTGTAAACTGATTTAAGCCCAACTCTAAACACTGGAAAACTGCAGAGATGTTGTAGTGGCTTGGTTCATCTCTAATTTCAACCCTTACTTCTGCATCACAGTAATTCCATGTATTAACTCTCTGTCATTCCCTATGTCAGGTTTGCTTTCCAGATAACATTAGAGCTGAAGGGCAGAAAGATCAGTTAACTTATATCATTTTCACCAATCCCCAAAATTTATCTGTGTTTTGGCAAGGAAAAAGTCAGTTAAATACCTTTTCCCATCAACAAGATGTTTTCCCCTTTCTGTTTTAACTGTCTTTAACTGTCCTGGGACATATTCTCAGCTCTGATAAAGTGTCTGAACTCTAGAGGAAGGTCTATTCTGTTCTGATCAGTATCAAGTTTGGATTATTTAAAAAGAAGCAGCTGCCAGCAAAATCTGTTCAGTGCCAAAAAAGTATAAATGGTAGCACCCTTAAAAACCACAAAAAAAACCCCATACAACTGTATCTTTGATGAAAAAATAGAACAATTAGAAAACCCTTCCCCAAAGTTTATAATTATCTAAATATAATTTAAGAAATATATATACAATCACATTAAAAATGATGCAGTTTTTCTAAACTGCTTCATTCAACAGGGAAATAAAATTGAAGCCAGAGCTTGTGCTCCTCCTTCAGTAGGACATTAATGCCTTTTGGGAATTTGCTTGCTTAGGGACAGATGAAGTACAGCAGTATTTAAACCCTTCTATGGACAGATATTCATCTCCTGCTCCTTTGTTCTTGCTTGTACAGGTAGCCAAGGTGCTGTGGTGGTATTATTTTTCCAAAGTAATTGAATTCATGGACACTATCTTCTTTGTACTGAGAAAGAAAAGCAGCCAGATCACCTTCCTTCATGTGTATCACCATGCCACTATGTTTAACATTTGGTGGTGTGTTCTGAACTGGATACCTTGTGGGCAAAGTAAGTCTGTTTGCTTCATCACCTGGGGTGTAAGTCACCTGCTGCTGGAGGGGAATCACATCACCATGCAAAGCAAATCTGTCACTGGGCTATGTGACAGCACCTTTAAGGCTCATAGCCTTATTGCTCGAGCTGATCAATAGGGTCTTACATTTCATATTGAAATAGGAAAAATAGCAGCATCCGTTGCATTATTATATTTTGGGGTCAATATATTTCACAACAGTAGTCTCTAAATGACTTGGGTCTTAGGAGGATATTGTAATTGTCATCATCTCCCCTGTTGAGATGAGGAAGATATACAAATGCCAAGTGATCAGCCTGTGGCACTGTACATTAAGTCCAAACGGCAGAGAACTACTTCAGGGTCTCCCTCAATATGCACATTTTTCCATGTCTTCATAATGCCACAGGAAGCCTCTGGCTGTATCAGTTGAAAAGAAAATCAGTTTTCTTTCTTTGAGCTATTAAAGGAGTCACCTCAGTTCACTGTAATGTTTTGTAAAGCAACTTGTTGCAGGTGTTTTTCAGAACAAAAGCAGAATTCACAGTTGTTGGCACTTACAGACAGCACAAAAAGTAAATCACTGTTACAGGTAGAAGCAGAGATCAAGGATTTCATAGCAGTTACGAGCTATTTCTACAGAGGTGTAAACAAATTAGTGGAGGTTTGTGCTTTCAGTTGTGTCTGAACATATTCCCCACACTTTGCACTAGTTTTGCACTATCATAATTAACAGAGTGGAAAAATAAGTAGCTAAGTAATTAATCAGTAATTAATGAGTAGAAAATTCAAAAAAATTGGTGAGACCATCTCGTAGTTGTCAAACACTGCCATCAAATCCATGAACATACAGCAGATATAGTAGTGCTGCTACTTCTCAATAGTCTGTAAGGTACAGAGGGAAATTCATTTGCTCTAGAATTAGTATTTATTAAGTGTAGCTAATTAGAGTGGCAAGGTATTATCTAAGGTGAAATTCTGGAAACCTGCATCTAGCAGGAGAGCCACTGAAAAAAAATGAGAGCAGAGCTCAAGCACAGCCACCCAAGGCTAGTTTAATTCAGAGTAAAGCCCTTACTGCTGCATCAAGGAGCGGGAAAGCGAGTGCCTCCCAGAGCCCTAAGCTGTGCTACCAGCAGCAGTCACCCACAGCAGTGTCTAAAGCTTACAGCGATAATGGAAACACTCACGCAAACAACGTTTGGGAGAGGAACAAAAAGCAATAGCCTGTAAACTACAGAAGCGAAAGGGAAGGTGGAGAAAAAATAAAAATACGGGATGAAAATACAATATTCAACATGAGAAAAAACTCTGTAGGAAGTATCATTCAGCTTGTCAGTTGTCCCTAGGACAGCATCTCTTCACATCAGGAATGTCTTTAGCAAAGGATAAGCACAGAGGGAAGACTTACCATATGCAGGAGACATTGCCAACAATAATATCTGCTCTTACTTCTTAAGCAGCTGGTATATAAAACGTTTCCCTCGTTGGATTTTCATAGGTTTCTTTGGACCCACTTTGAATAGCTTTATCCACGTGCTCATGTATTCTTATTACGGACTGTCAGTCATCCCTTCTATGCGCAAATATCTGTGGTGGAAGAAATACCTCACTCAAGCACAATTGGTATGTATCTATTTTAATCTCAGTTTTAATGACCAGAAATCCTTCAAAATTCCAGAGAGGACAAAGTGAATGGTAGATAAATACTGTCATTTGCAGAATTAAGCCAAGTAGAATTCTAACATAACAAAGCTGTCATGGTACGGCTTAGTACAACTTAAAGGCAATGATGCTCAGAAATATTTTCTACAATACAGCAGAAACTCTACAGTCCATAAGTCTCTTATTTTTGACCTCTTGCATGGAAAATGGACACCGCTTAATCATGCCAAGTAGACTGATTAAAAAGTTATAAAAACTGACAGAGCCAGCTCCAAGACAGACCCACTGCTGGCCAAAGCTCAGCCCATCAGCAAAGCTGAGGGCACTTCTGTGATATCATACTTAATAAAGTGCAAAAAATACTGCACAGCAGCTGTGAGAAAGGAGTGAGAAAGTGCAAGAGAAACAGCCCTACAGAGCTCTGACAAGGTCAGAGCAGGAGGGGAGGAGGGGCAGAGATCCCCCTGCAGCCCCTGGAGAAGACCATGGTGAGGCAGGCTGTCCCCCTGCAGCCCATGGAGGACCACAGTAGAACAGATATCCCCCATGCAGCCCATGGAGGACCCCACACTGCAGCAAGTGGAGATGCCCTGAAGGAAGCTACAGCCCATGGAGGGCCCCACAGAGAAACAGGCTCCTGGCAGGAGCTGCAGCCTGTGGAGAAGAGCCCAGGCTGGAGCAGGTTTGCTGGCAGGACCTGTGACCCCACAGGGGACCCGCACTGGAACAATCTATTCCTGAAGGACTGCACCTCGTGGAATGGACCAACACTGGAGCAGTTCTTGAAGAACTGCCGCCCATGGGAAGGACTCATTTTGGCACAGTTCTTGAAGAACTGCAGCCCAAGAGAAGGGCCCACACTGGAGCAGTTTGTGCAAGACTGTCTCCGTGGGAGGGACCCCATGCTGCAGCCGGGGAAGAGCCTGAGGAGGAAGGAGCAGCAGAGCCAAAGCAATACGGGCTGACTGCAACCTCCATTCTCCATCCCCTTCTACCACTTGAAGGAAGGAGGTAGAAGAGTCAGAAGTGAACCTGGGAAGAAAGAAGAGCTACGGCGAAGGTGTTTTTAGTTTTATTTCTCACTATCCTGCTGTTATTAATTGGCAATTAATTAAATCAATCTTCCTGAAGTCAAGTCTGTTTTGCCTGTGACAGTAATTGGTAAGTTTTACCAATTATCCTTCCTGCCCTTATCTCAACCCACAAATTTTTCATATTTTCTCCCACTACTCCACTGAGGAGGAGGAGTGAGAGAGCAGGGGGGTGGGCACCCGGCAGCCAACCGAGGTTAACCCACCACACCGTGGTACAACTACAAAATGCAAAGTGATGTGCACAGACTCTTAGACAGGACAGAAGTTTTCCGACTTCTTGAAGCCTACTCCAGCAGCTGCTGTACCCAAATTGCTGAGCCACATCAAAATCTTCTATCAACAAGACAAGGATTGATGTGAAATAAAGTTAATTTCACTTTTATCTTAGAGCCTATTCGTATTATTTGGGAGTTCAGATGTTTGCAGAGAGCTCAAAAACACCTTTAGCAAATGCTTCTTCTCTGAGACCATCCCTGCGGTTCAAGTTCACTGCCCTGTTTGAAATGCACCCCAGCACGCTGGAGCGAGGGCACGCTCAGCTGGCTGCAGAGAATCAGATGCACCAGCACGAGCTGTGGTTTGCAGTCCAAAACCCAGACAGCCTTCTGCAATTCCTTCTTCAGCTCATTTTTGCTCAATTTGTCCCCATCTTAACTCCTTTAATGCAAACATGCCAACATACCCAAACTTCTCCTCAAACTTCTAAAGCTACTGACTAGAGTCTTCAGAGCTTTCTCAAGCTTAGTACCAGTAATAAAGATAACATTGTACCTGGCACAAGACTGTCTGAAAGAGAGAACAACCCCTATTAAAATAAAAGAACTTTCATTTTGCCAACTAGGCCTATAAACTCATATTTTTAGAAATCTGACCCCTTAAAAGTTTTTTATAATTTCAGAAGAGTGTCACTTTAACTTAACTCTCACAATACATTCACAGGTTCAGAAAGGATCATTTTCAAGAGTACTCAAACTTTCAAAACCAAGACTAGGTGTCATTGTTATATCTGATTTAGCTAGCTTGTGCGTAATATTTAACCCTTGCTTAAATATGCACGATCTTTCCTCCACAGATCCAGTTTCTGCTCACTATTGTGCACACACTCAGCGCAGCTGTGAAGCCATGTGGATTCCCATTTGGCTGCCTCATGTTCCAGTCCTCCTACATGGCCACACTGGTGATTCTCTTCATAAACTTCTACATTAAGGTAAGCAGTCTTCCAAAAGCTTTCTGACAAGGGGCAGGGGAAGAACTTTTTGGATAGTAGTCTTGATGAATTCACATGTAGGATGAGCATCAACACTTATGTCTGTATTCAAATACATATGCCAGTTAAGAAGGATAGATGCAGTAATGTCTGCAAGAGACAGTTATTCGGTAATGACCTCCCCATTGCAGCTCATCTCTTCTATACTTGTATGGCAAGTCAGGTACCACATTCAGGACTTAGGAGATCTGAATTTGCTCTGTTGAGCAACTTTGAGTCTTCCTCCCTCCTTGAAAAAAGAAATAAGTGGGCTATGTCTTTGCATTATTTCAATCTTTTTTTAGCAGGGACTGCATACATAGAGCTTCTAATGAAAAGGGCTTAAAATGTCTTTTGACATCAAGAAGTATTACAGTAATACTAGTAAGGTAGTATCACCCACAGCAGTGAAAATAATACAGTTCCCTTAACACAGTCTGAAGCAAATATGTACATCTGCATCAACAAACACCAGACAGCTCCGCTTTACAGTTAAACATAAATAGTGTTTGGGGGGCACTAAATAAACCCAAGTATTTACTTGGGATTTTTCTTTTATAGACATACCGGAAAGCACCTTCAAGAACAGCTATAAAGGAAATGCCTGTCACAACAGAAACCAAGAACGGTTTCCATAAGGACTACTTTGCTGCTGCCAATGGATTCCTGAACAATAAGAAAGCACAATAAGTATAATATTTCCTATGATTTTTTTTCTAAAAAAAATAAAGATGAAAAAAGACTGAATTACAAGCTTCAGTTTAAAACCTATTTGATTACATTTATCAGTTCTTTGTACCATACACTTATTAATGTACTGCTATTTAGGTTTTAACAAAATGAGTAGAATTACTTGTCCTGTCAGAGATCACCATCGGAACAAAGGCGGCCAAGATCTTTCTCATATGAAAAAGAAAACTTTTCTGATCTCTAATGCTGACACAAAAACGCCTTATAAAACGCTTGATGGATAAATCCATCAATGCCTTCAAAAGGTTAGGACTCTGTTCAGACTGACGCAGTGATCACTTTCTGTGCACACGAGAGGTCTTGAGGCAAGGCTTCGCAGTGCACCCAACATCCAGCTAAACTGCAGACAAGGTCAGGAAGAGGAATAGGGAGACAAAAGTGAGAATCATACCTTTTCCATCACCATACCCCTTCTCTGCTTCTTCCCAACTGTTTCCCAAAGCACGCTCCCCTCCCACAGACACCAACGAAGTACAGCCATACCTTTGGACCAGCAGGAGCCCTGGGAAAGGACGTAAGAGAGCAGAGCCCAGTGCACCATTCCAGAGTCTGCAGACAGACACGCACCGTGCTCGCTTGCTTTACGTATGTGTAACCTGACTCAAACACCACAAAGCCCAGCAGGAGCTTGCTATTTCAGAGGGCTGGTCTGGTAGTACCTGGGGCTGCCCAGGATGGCATTTAGAAAACATGATATCACACAATGATATGGGGTTTTGAGCTCTAGTCAGAGCAAAGCAAGTCACTTTTGGGGTGCGCTAAATTAATACAGTTCTGACTAAATGGATTTTGAAAGAAACAGGAGCTCAGCATCTCAATGAAGATAAATCCTTTGAGTGTAAACATGCACAAAGTTAATCCTATACAAACATTGCTAATGTGAAGTAAACTGGCATGCCAAGTATTAACAGACTAGAAGATGCAGAAAATCTTAAAAGTTAATTTAGCAATGAGCAAAGCACATTATATGGCAATTTCCGTGCTAGGTGGTCTCTGACTGGAGAAACAGATGGGACTGAGGCACAATCCTCTGTAGGGAAGGCAAGGAAATATTTGCCATCTGCAGCTATAATGGTGTGTGTCTCAATAGCAAATCACCATCATCTCTGCATCAGTTAGCTGCGTTTACCTCCCACTTCACTCTTAAGTGAAGAGAACCCAAAGTTAGCTTTGGGGATCCACACCTCACCCTTTTCCCATTTAGCCCCCTTCAAAATTTCCACTAGAAGTGGACACAGCTTTTTTTCCCCCCCCCTCTCCCTTTTTCACAGTGAAGTAGTTCTGGTCTCTCCCAATCTTGTATGCATAAATTCTCTCCACAAAAGCACCTTTTGGAGTCGCCCCAGCCCAGCAAGTCCCTCAGACTGAAGCAGTTCTGTAAAGGGACCACATCCTCTCCCTCCCATCACCCTGCAGTGTCCCAGGGCAGGAAGGGGACAAACCACGTGCCCAGCCAGCACAGAGGGACCAAGCAGCCATAGAGGGCCCATATGGAGAGAAGACTGTCTCAAGTCCTGCTCCTCCAATTCTTCACCTCCCAGGTCAGTTATCCCCTCTGGATGATCAGTCATCAGGGGGTCTTGGAGACTGCAGATGCAAAGGCAGGAAGGTTTTTCCCAGGGAGCAGTGAAGGTGCAGAGCTCGTGGATAAGAAGGGAAGGGGCTAAGGAAGTGGTACAGGATGGGGGAAGAACACAGATGGTTTTGTCCAGCAAAAGCAAGAGGAGAAAGTGGCACAGAGAAGGGCATCTCAGGTCGGAGTTCAGTTTAAATTTGTGCTTGAAAGTCTTGTTGGATCCCATCTGTCTCCAGCCAGTTCCTGCTCTGTTACGATGTGGACAAAATCCTTCTACTCCAGCAGAAAACTGAGATCCCCACAATGCTGCAGCACAGGCTGTACATGCAAGCAGCCTGCTGCTAAACTGCATCGTCATCAACTGGCTAACAAAAATAACCACAATATTCAAACACTTTTGACAAGGCAACTAGCTGAACCATTCATCTAAGGCAGGCAACAAAAAATGGTTGTGTGGCCCAATGTAGATTTTAGGCTGAGCAGAGCCATAACCTTTTGATGGCAAGGCATGCATTTGACTATCAAGGTGGACAGCGTCAGCATTCTAAGAATTAATGTGGCCCAGTGTGGATTTTAGGCTGAGCAGAGTCCATAACCTTTTGATGGCAAGGCATGCATTTGACTATCAAGGTGGACAGCGTCAGCATTCTAAGAATTAAAGTTTACTACGGCAACCAAACCCACAGACATCATCTTTTGTTTTGGTGAAACCTCATTCAAAAGAAAAAGAAATAAATGCCTTACTTGAAACCCAAAGGGCTGGGGGGAAAAAAAAAAAAAAGAAAAAAGGAAAAAACCAAGATGGTCTCACCTTGCAGATCCAGACTGGCCAGGAAGGCTGGAATCAGGTATGTTTTAAATCCTTCAGATCTGTCTTAACATCTTCAAAACGCTGCAACTTTGAAGAGGAGCGTTGATTTTTAAACTGATTTTCCTGTAATACATAACACTGTAAATAAACAAATTTTACTATCAGGCTGTCTCCACTTCCCTTTATTTAAGGCATCGAATGGTTGGGAAGTGGTTATGTGAGACCACTGTTGTTGTGAAACTTTTTCAGAAAGCTCTTAGGACATTCACCTCAGACTGAGAAACAACTTAACACACCAACTCTACGCACACCGATGTAATGCTCCCGTGTTTTTTGTACAACTGTTGGCTGTGCTCTGCCCTCCTCATTGACTGGGCAGGTGGCACTTCTGAATATTACATCCACAGAGGCACACATACTAATTAAGTTGATAGGAAAGAGTTTTCTACAGCATGCAGACCAGCACGTTTACAGTTCCTATTTGAGATACCTTCCTTTGATAGGCTGAACATCCCTGTCCCTCCAGGCAGTCCTGCTTCTTAACAGCGGCTCTACAGGCAATATAGACTCTCACCTTTGCTTCTCTGGGTTTTATTTCAGATGAAATAGATGATGCAAGTACCTCATACTGAGTTTGCTTTCTCCAGGGGACAGAAAAAACACTTTCAGCCCAAACTTCAGTCCAAACAGACTTGTTAAAATCATCCTGCATGATTTTGCTGACTCCATGTTCCCAGGCTCTCTTGACTTGCAGATTTAGGCTGGTGAGATCCTTTTGATTCATCTATTATAAATAGATTAAAAAAAGCAGTCTGGACTTTGAGAGGAAAATTTCTAAATACTGCACAGGAAGACAACCATCATATCCCACTTATTAGCTCAATTAAGTTTTCCTCCCAGTTTTTTATTCACATTTAACACACTCTTTAGTGCCCCACACACACCATCAAAAACGTCCCTAGATTTTGTTGTGCACAACAGAGTGAGGGCACAGTGAAGCATTACTGGAGCATCACAGTTGAGACATGGTAGAGATACAATTTACAGAACATCAGCTCTCCCCCCAAACATACCTAGCTGGGACAAATGACCCAGCTTACCCGTTTTTTGGCAAGATGTGGAATCCTGTCAGTCAGTCCAGACTTCCTTGCTGGAAATGCAACTTCTTGTGCCTGCTCTTTCTGCTATATAAAGGCTTTAAAATATTTCATTCAGGTGTTCTACCTAACAAAAATAAGTAAATAAATCAGTCAACCCTGCTGACAAGCACGTGAGTTTACAGTGAATCCTGTGCAGACTTGGCAGCTATCAGAGGCTTTTAACTGACACATATCTCCTGAAAGATGGAAGATAAGGGGTTTAGTTTGTTTCACCAAAGAAGTGAATGGAAATCAAGTTTCTCCACATTACATGAGTGATCTAATCACTTGGGCAGCAAGAAAAATAAAAGCAGCATACCTTCCCCTTCACAAAGAGAATCCCACTGAAAAAGCATTTCTGGGTTGAACCGTTCAGCTTGTCAATAGTTTCCAGTCCATCAAATGCCCAAGCTGCGTACAAAGGAATCCTTGACGCCTGGCTCCAGCCACTAAGGGAAAGCTAGAAAGTGTTAAGATACTGAAACGGACAACATCAAAGCAGAGGTGCTCCACAGTTACCACGCTCACTCTCAAATGGGTAGTGAGTCCGTTGGTTCTCTCAGTCAAACCCTCATAAAAAACCAAACATAACACCACACAGCAATCTCAAACTTAGCTAGAGCAGTTCTGAGTGCTGCTGTAAAGCCTTGTACTGGATGTTACCATGTAGAGATAGTGTCTAGCGCCATGGGCGGGTAAAGCTGGTATTACTTTTGGAAAGAGATAAGAGTCATAACAGCTGATAGCAGCAAAGAGGATCCAGTCAGAAAGATGCTCCTACCAATATACAGGCTCATAAGGGATTTTGGCAGCTATGTGTTCACAGGGTACTTCAAGCTACATTCATGGCAAGCAGCAGTCTCACTGTATTTGACTTCTTTGCAAGGACTGCCAGTTCTTAAATTGTTTAGAAGGAAATTCCACATTCTGACAGCTGAAAATGAAGTTTGTCAGGCATATTTTCACTTGGTAGCATGCTCGTACCCCTCCAGGAGAATGGAAGAGGAGGAAGCACCTCATCCAGCCCAACAGGCAAAAATCACAACTGAACAAAGCCTGCCTTCACTAAGGAACATCTGTTGTACGGGGGGAAAAAACCCCAACATTGTGTTTTACCAAGCTCATTTTCTGGCAATACACCAAACACGAGGGCAGTGCCAATTGCGTTTCCACGCCTTTCTAGCGTGCTTTAGGGGCATCACCTTTTGTCTGAACGGACACAAGAGCTTCATGCTGCCAGCAGCACCTCTGTTCTACAGAGCGCCTCAGCCTAGGAAAGGCACTCGTACCCACAGCAAGCCTAAAGACTCTCAGATAAATAAGTCCTTTGGTCAGGTGTCAGCACGGGCCAAGCAGAGATCATGGATTGGTGAAGGGACCAGATACTGTACCGAGGTGCCCTGCAGCACTTCTAATGTCACTCATCATCTCCGTAGCAATTTGCTACAAT